ATATACCGTATTTTCCGGGCTATTAGTCGCTCTCATTGAATGTTCTATTTTTGAACTTTTTTCACAAATAAACCACACTGGACTTTAAAGGAAACCCAACAGTGTGATGGGTGAGTGGTTTTGTTTGTTTGTTCGTTCACGGTGACTCTGGGCTTTGTTCAGTTGTGGCGTGTAGGGAGGGTGCTGTCTGGGACCCTGGATTGTCGGCGTGTTCGCAGTGACTCAGTTGTTCAGTCGTGTCTAGAAGTGGCACATTGCACTCGCTTTTTCGGTTCGTTCCTCCGTTCCTCGTCGGTGTGGAGTGATGAGTGTGTCTGTGGGTGTGTTTCTCTGTGCGGTTGCTGTGTGTTTGTGTGTTCTGCGGGCTTTGTAGTTTACTGAAGTCGTGCTGGGACACCCCAGTGGAGTCATGTATAGGGCGCTCTGGATTATGGGGCGCACCGTTGTTTTTTGACAGGGTCAGAGGTTTAAGAACGCGTCTAATAGCCTGTAAAATACAGTATGTTTTTTTCTTCATTATGCATTTTTTGGCTGGTGCGACTTATAGTCTGAAAAATACTGTATATTTTGAACAAAAATGTATTGCATTTACTATATTGTTCTCTCATCCCACCTTACCTAAAGTATGGCCTTGAAATTTGGGGCAACACATATAAAACTAGAACTAATCCAGTCCTCCTAAAACACAGGTGTCAAAAATAAGGCCTGGGGGCCAGATCTGGCCCTCCAAGACCTTTAATCTGGCCCTCGGCTGATTTTCTACTAAAATATTTTAATAATATTTTCTATTAAAATATTGGTAATTTTCTGCACCGCTTAGTATATCAGCGTCTTAGTATATCAGCCCCTCCCACCAGAGCAGCCCAAATGAAGACTTGCCTCTTTCCAAATGCTCTTAAATCGATCGAGGTGACGATCGTTTTGACTGTTGATCGTGACGCCCTCATCAAAAAAATGTCAAACATGAGAAAAGTGGAGCCAAGTGCAGGATTTTCCAAGAAAAATTTACTTATTCCTATTTGCATACAAGTTCATGTTAAAACTTTGTGTTGAAATTACATTTTTCTTAAAGTTTCAGGTTGTTCATAATATTATAATATTTTTTTAAAGAAAGAGTTCATCAATTCAAAAAGATTTCTGTAATAGATTTGTGTTTCTCTGCACAAATATTTGAACTTATTGTTATTTTTGGGGTTTATATGTCATGAGTTTTCTGATCCGACCCCTTTGGGATCAAAGTAAGTTGGATACGGTCCCCGGACCAAAATGAGTTGACACCCCTGTTCTAAAACATTAAACTGGTGAACCATGCACCTTATGATTCACCTGTAACTCACTGTTCATCTGATCAAACATTCTAAACTTCTATGACTTGGTCGACTTGTACACGGCTAAGTTCATGTACAAAGTCAAACAAAATGAAACGCCTCTTTCTTTGCAGGCAGTGTTCACCTAGAGAGAGAGTAAATATAATGTGAGGGGCACATGTATATTCGACATGTGAGAGCGACTGTGAGGAACATCATCGTTCATCAAGCAAACGAGTTCAATTATGGAACAGTTGCTGCACTGAGTTAAAACATGCAACTTCTCTTTTTCAATTCAAAATATCTTTTAAGAGCATAGGAATGAAAAAAATATTTGAAAGAATAACAACAGTAAAGATGTAGTAAGGTGTAGTATTAATGTCGTAGATGAATGTCCATGAACGTGCTGTAGTTGGAGATTGGAGAGGAACAATGAGCTTCAGATTCAGTCCACATCTGCTCACTGACTCACTGTCTGATTTGATTGTTCTGCAAACTGAATATGCTTTATTTTATGGCATCAGACTGAATATAATGTAAGTAAAGTGTAATGAGTTCAACATTGACCACATAAAACACATGAACATGAACATGAACTGGTCTGTACCTGTTCTGCCCTGATCTTGCCCCAGTACAGTTTATTGTATAAGCAGCTCTTGAGGTCAAAAATAGTCCACTGTGTACAGTCTGCATGTCATTATGAAGTGATTTAATGTAGACTCAGGAAGTGTGTTATTAGCATGTGAATTGTTGCCCATGATAAACTTCACTCTGGTCTCTGAAAGTTGTGGAAAGTGCTTATGAACTCATACTGGGGTCCAGTCAAGTGGTAACGGAGGGAAACAGGGGCAGATTTTTGACATTCAAATGTCTCTTATTCAGAAACTAGAGGAACTATTGAAATAAGTAAAGTATCAGAATGTAGGAAAGAGTTACACTCCAACAGGGTCAAGTTAAGCCTGTGAGATTCTTTCAAGTTGTTGACAAAAAATTTATAAACTCATGTTGGTAACGGAGGGAATGAAATATGCAGCACTTTTTGGGCAATAAATCCAAACAGTGATAACTCTTGGTTCTCACTTCCATATCCTTAACAAACTGGTTTGAATATTTGCTTCATATAGTTTTCTACCATATGGTACAAGATTAGGTTGAAAAACCTCTTACTTTTTGAGTAATGAGATTTTTTATTAAGAAAGGTCATGGTAACGGAGGGAAAAGTAACGGAGGGAAAATTGTTCAAACAAGTAGAAGGTGCAGGATTTTGCATAATTTGTAGCTTTTTTCTTCTGAATACTTTAATATTACTTCAAAATGAAAGGAAACTATTTCTATAAAATATGTCAGTCTTTCCAAGCAAATTTTTATCATTTTAAATACATTTTTTTGGAAAATCATGTACCTTCATCAACAGTTCAAAGATGGAATAACACAAGATATGATGAAATACATCCATTTATTGACATGATTTTCAGGTCTTTGAAATTTGGGAAATAATTTTTGTTCCATGTTTCATACATGGTCTGTTTAAAACATATGGAACTTTAGAACCAAAAATGGTACAGAAAAAAGGTCAACAGTTTCATAAACTAGAGTACATATGTATCTGTTCAATACATTTTTATATCAGATGCATTCACTTGAATTTTTGGCCTTGATGTTTACTTCTGCTTGACCGGGCCCATTGATGAATAATTAAGATGTCCAGAATGTAAAAGGCGAGTGAGGAGGAGGGAGGTTCTGTTCTTCATGTATTTAAGGCAGAGATTTTGAAACTTCTCCAAAATATTCTCATGTCATTCAGAACAAAACTGGAGCACAGACAGTGCTTTTCTGGTTTGATTTTTTCTCGAAAGCTGACATGTTTGATTTTGACCTTATGTTTCTTTGAGGTTTAATCCGACTCTCATCTCTCGCTTTGGAAAACAGGGAGACACGAGGGTTCCAGACTCAGACGTCTTTGTAACGTTTTGTCAAAGTATTTAATGGTGGTTGGCCCGGGACGCAGCGCCTGCACTCAAATGAAAACCTTTTGCAACCAAAACAGCCCATGTTATGCTGCACTGTTCTGTTTGTATTATTAGCAACAATATAAACACATGAATCTAAATGAGTAGCTGGTGTCAGGGGTCTTTACAGCCCCACTGGCAGCTCTTGGACTGTCACAGCTGCTGGTGTAAGGGGACAGTGGTCATAAAAGTGTGGAGACTGTAGCAGACAAAAGCAGTTCTGTGCTCTCTGTTTCTTTGGCACTAAATCATGTTTTGCGCCGAAGTTTCTGCTGGACTGAACCTGGCTTTGACCCACACTGGCTACAGGACGTCAGTTGACTCAATTCCACAACAATAAAATTCTCTTCAGCCTCTTTTCCACTGGCACAGTTCTCTTGGGGCATTGGAGCGGATCTGTGGAGCGGCTCCCTCCAGCCCAGTTGTGTTCCAGGGACAAGGCTCTGCCCCGTGAGACACGTCACCCAAACTCATGGTGTCTTAATGAATACAATCTCCTGCCTCATTTATACTCTTCATCACAAAACATCATAAAAAGTCTTTCCAAGTTTGTTTATCATCAGCTTTTTCCAGATTTTTTTTTTTTTTCCACTTTTCTGCACCTCTATGTCACATTTAACCTCTTCATGTGATACCTTTGGTTTGGCTCAACTTAGAACATTATGTGCTAGAAATATAATATCATATAATTTTATATAATGTTATCTACCATATTTTCTGCACTATAGGGCGCACTTAAAATCCTTTAATTTCATCCAAAAACGAGTGCGTGCCTTATAATCCAGACATCTTATCTATGAATTTATTGGTTTGTCTTAGTACGACTTTAGTAAAGTACAAAGCCGCTCCACTTGCAGCATTACGGCTCCCGTAGTCAGGAGCATCAGGAGTAATACAGACTGTGATTCCTTTTAATATCAAAATGCTCCTGTCAAGAGACACGCTCACAACGCCCACTTTAAACTCAAGGCTGTTCTAAAGTGAAAGTGTGAGCTGCGTGGGAGCAGTGGATGAGAGAAGGAGAACTGTCAACGGATTGTGGACGCCCGGGATCAGTATCAACTGTGATCCGAGCTTCACCAAGACCCGGATCATCACTGAACTGAACTCCAGGGAACAGTAACCACACTGACTCGGAGAATGACAGAGGGATGTGGACGTGTGGACGCCGGAATCACCCAACTGTTTCAACTATTATGACTTATTGTGAATACACGAACAATTTAGCGACTCACACAGTATTTTTTTACGTGTTACAATTGAACAAAGTTGAGAGTTATTGTGAACACATTGAATAAAGTTTGACTGACTTATCTAACTGTTGTGTTTCGTTTAATGCGCCTTATAGTCCAGTGCAGTTTATATGTGAAAAAAGTTTGAAAATAGACCATTCAATGACAGTGCGCCTTATTATCCAGAGTGACATATAGTGCACAAAATACGGTAATATTATGTGTCCCATAATGTGAGTGCTGTGCATCAATAAACAGGAAGCGTCTGTTGCTAATGTAGGAAGACATAACATAAATAACTTAACATAGAAATTGCCATAAGTGGAAATATGTTTAATGCCATGCTTTGGAACATTCCTGTCAGAGCAGTAACAGCTCCATGGCAACAGACCCCATGTAAAAAAGTGACATATTAACTTGTGGGTGCTGACCAGCTGCTCTCCGCTCTGCAGGTCATTTTGTGGCGGTGGAGACAAACTCTGCCCGGGACAGTGTGGAGGACACAGGGGAGAAGAGTGGAGAGGACAGCACACAGACCCAGGGAGTACCCAGCGGGGGGACTCGGGGGGTGCTCCTCAGCCCCCTCCTGGAGCTGGGGGAGTGGAGCTGTCTGCGGCTGGTGTACCAGGTGAGCGTGGAGGGCAGCCTGGACGTCCTGCTGCGCACTGAGGGCCAGAGCTTCGACCGGCCCCTGTGGAGCACCAGGACCCCCTCTGAGAGCTGGATCATCTCCAGTGTGGACCTCAGCAACACCAGCCTGCCCTTCAGGGTACATCCTCTACTCCGCACTGTTCTGTTAACAGCACATTGTTTGATGAGGACAAGCTGTGTTAAAGTCCTCTCTTTATCATCAGCACTTTAAATCATGCTCCAGCATTAGTTTACACATGTTTATAGAAGAACTTTGCAGAGGCTTCCAGTGCAAAAAGTCTGATAGTACAAGTCCATGCATTATATCTGTGTGCACAAAAACATCAGGAGTATCAGCTGCTAACTTTTTTGATATAAAGATGGTGTTTTAGTAACAGTGTACAATGTTTAGATCATTTTAGCACAAAATCTGTACATTTGCAGCTTTCTGATCCTACAGGCCCAGCAGTTTCAAGTACTACATGACATCACCACACATGACTGCAGCCAAGTGTTTCTGATACAAACACATGTCTGCAGGGGGATCCTCCCCTGCAGACAGGGACCAATCTGAGGCTGCACGGGAGATGGACAGGCTCATATTCCTCTCCCTCTGCATGAACTCTGACTGTCAAACTCCATCCACATCAGCGTTAAAGACCCTCTCTGCAAAATGAGTTCCCAGCCATGTTCGAATGTTGATTTTCTGCATTAAAAGCACGTGCACACCTGTGTGTCACTGGACTGTGCTCATGGCTGCTCTCATGTCGGATCTCAAAAGTAAATAGTTACTGTCTTTAACCACACTTTCTCATGCTACCCCTGCTGGAACAGTGTAAGTGTGCTCAGTGAAAATCTGGAATGGGCTGCTTCTAGAGGTTTCCCAGATGCAGTATCTTCTAATCAGGTGGTGTTTGTAATCAGAAACATCTGTCTGTAATCAGGGCAGTCCTGTGTACCTGTGTGATGTCACATAGGACTTGAAATTACACATAAAAGTACCTAAACATGACATGACATGACATTAACATTACACATGCCATTAAAACACTTCATACACAGTTTAGTTGCGAAAAGGTGGATTTAGAGTTTAGTGTCTTTGTACCAAAAGGCATGAACATGTTTAATATAAGAACTTAGGGAATACTTGGAATGCAGCAGGCCATCTGTGTGCACAGCCCCGTGTGTGTGGAGCTCAGATAAAAGTAGGTCGATGTTTAACAGAAGTGAAATATAAACACATGTGTCAGTTGAGTTTATGCAGACACACAGCAGGGCTGATCTGTGTGTGCACCAACACAGGACCTGTGGCCCCGGGCAGTCAGATCTATCACAGAGGGGCCCCTTAGTACCTGTGTGTGTGGAGCTGCATTAGGCCTGTCACAGAACTATGTGAGCAGGCCTCTGGATAAGGCCAGGGCAGGAGCACGGTGAGCGGGGCTGCAGATGGTGGGAAACAGTTGGTCATGTTCTACACCTCTCAGTAAGGCACAGGCGGCTCGTGTGGGTGTGTCAGGTTGTGGTGAGTGGTGGTGAGTTGTGGTGAGCGGTGGTGAGCGGTGGTGAGTTGTGGTGAGCGATGGTGAGCGGTGGTGAGCTGTGGTGAGTGGTGGTGAGTGGTGGTGAGTGTGGTGAGCTGTGGTGAGTGGTGGTGAGTTGTGGTGAGCTGTGGTGAGCGGTGGTGAGTTGTGGTGAGCTGTGGTGAGTGGTGGTGAGTTGTGGTGAGCTGTGGTGGTGTGGTGAGTGTGGTGAGTGTGGTGAGCTGTGGTGAGTTGTGGTGAGGTGGTGAGTTGTGGTGAGTTGTGGTGAGCTGTGGTGAGCGGTGGTGAGTTGTGGTGAGCTGTGGTGAGTTGTGGTGAGCTGTGGTGAGCGGTGGTGAGTTGTGGTGAGTGTGGTGAGCGGTGGTGAGTTGTGGTGAGTTGTGGTGAGCGGTGGTGAGTTGTGGTGACATCAGCACTGAGCACACTTGTGGAGGATTGCTGAGTACAGGTGCAGGAGCCTCATGGAGGCAGAACAACCTCCCTTCACCAAAGTCTCTCTGAAACTCATGTGGAGCTCTAGTAATGCAGCAGTGTCCTCCTCAAACAGTTGTGTTTAAAAGTGTGCAGATGTTGTGTTCATTGGATGTAGTTGTACAAATGCAACAGTGAATGTATATTTCCCATGTACTTGAGCACATTTCATCTTGTTCAGTACAGATAGTGTTTCAGTATCTTCTAAGGTCAAAATAAGGCCACTGTGTGCTGTCTGCAGATAATTAAAAGCATCTTATTTTCCAATAATCAGTAAGTGCACGTTAGCATGCTAGCTGTTGTTACCTTTAATATCACAAAACTTTTCAGTCGTGAAATGTGCTTATAAAGAAATCCCCATGAATAATTGGGAGTGTGAAAGGTATTTGAGGAATAATTTTGGACTAGTTCTGTTCTTTTAACATCAGGAACTTTAAGGTCTGATGTGTAAGAGGATTGTGATTCTTCAACCATACGGCAGGGACAATGTACCTACATGTAAAACTTCCATACAAAGAACTGACTCAATACTCGATACCAATTATGATACAAACAAGGAAGTAATCAGTCAACACAAAATCACAGTACTGTGTTCTGTTCTGTTCTGTTCTGATGATGATGATGATGATGATGATGATGATGATGATGCATACTAAACCTGGTCACCTATGTGACTTTAGTATAAATCGAATACCTGCTCAGGTGTTTATCTTGTTTGGCTCGTGCACAGTCAGAGCTCGTGTTCATCACAGTGCTTGTGTCTCAGGTGGTGATTGACGGTGCGTCGGGCAGAGCTGCAGGCAGCAGTGTGTCTCTGTTTGAGATCCACATCAGCCCCGGATACTGCCTCGGTCTGTACACTGTGCACACTGTGCCCCTCACACTCACACTCTGCCACTCACACTGTGCCCCTCACACTCACACTCTGCCCCTCACACACACACTCTGCCCCTCACACTGTGCCCTCACACTCTGCCACTCACACTCACACTCTGCCACTCACACTCTGCCCCTCACACTCACATTCTGCCCCTCACACTCACACTCTGCCACTCACACTGTGCCCCTCACACTCACTCTGCCACTCACACTCACACTCTGCCACTCACACTCTGCCCCTCACATTCTGCCACTCACACTGTGCCTCTCACACTCACACTGTGCCCCTCACACACACACTCTGCCCCTCACATTCTGCCACTCACACTGTGCCTCTCACACTCACACTGTGCCCCTCACACTCACACTGTGCCCCTCACACTCACACTCTGCCCCTCACACTCTGCACACTGTGCCCCTCACACTCACTCTGCCACTCACACTCACACTCTGTCACTCACACTCTGCCCCTCACACACACACTCTGCCCCTCACATTCTGCCACTCACACTGTGCCCCTCACACTCACACACTGTGCCCCTCACACTCACACTGTGCCCCTCACACTCACACTGTGCCCCTCACACTCACACTGTGCCCCTCACACTCGCTCTGTGGGGCTTTTACACTTCAGGTCTGATGCCTGTGAGCAACTTTAGTGTTAGACCAATCCCACTGTTCCTGTTACCCTGAGAGCCCCTCCTCCCCCCTCACTGTCTCCAGGTGCTGCCCAGTTGAGCACTTCTATTTACCACTTCAGGTCCTGATTCTCAGCAGATGGCCGTCCATACGCCTGTGCCACATTTGGTGTGTTGCAGGATTTCATAATGAGTGGCTGAGTAAACATGGAGATTAGAGACATTTCAAATGTTGTAGATTTGTCAAGATGAGCATTTGGGAGAAATGATGAGCAGTGAGTGTGAACAGAATAAACAGTGAAGTGAACACAGCTCAACATGTGTCACGTGTACTGTGCTTTAAACACAGCGTCTCATACGTGATGTGTTCTGTTGTTGTGACAGAGTGTGACTTTGAGGAGTCTCATCTGTGTGGCTACAGTAACCAGTGGAATGCCAATGTCAACTGGTACGTGGGGGGAGGGGCCGTGCAGCTGCTGGACAATGACCTGAGCCCTGACCACTCCTCCATCAACCGTACAGGTCAGTCACACAAAACACGACCACGCAGCAACAAATCTGACATTTAAACCATGTTGTTGATTAAATATTAAAATATTCACGTCTCAGGTTTGACAGTTTGTGGTTCTGGTCCCCATATGGGAGGCAGGACCCCATGAAGTGAGTGTGTGTAAAGATTTTAGTCATCACACTGTGATACATACCTGCCCAAGACTTTACTGGCTCAGAGATAAGAGCTCTTGTCCTCCAGCCCCTCTGGACGGGTGTGTGCTGTGTGGTGGGGGGTTGGATGCTCTAGTCTCTCTCAGGGTTCAGGGTTGTTGTAAATGTTGCTTCAGTGATAGATCACCACCACCATGTGTGGAGTGAATGAACTATACAAAATGACAAAGCGACTAATTATTGAATAGGCTGGACCACATCAGACCTGAGTCAGACCTACAGCAGACACACTGTGAAGTCTGCATACTCCCCAAGTACAACAAAGACACACACTGAAAACTCCTGTTTTGAAGTTGTTTCTGACCTAAAGTACAGGTGAGACTGTCTTGTGTGTTGCAGGACACTTCATGTACGTGGACTCCCTTCATGCTGTCACCTTCCAGGAGGTGGCTAAGCTGGTGTCTCCCATGACCACAGCACCCATGTCAGGCTGCTTGAGCTTCCAGTACCAGCGCAGCGAGGCTGGAGGAAACCTGTTCTCTGTGTACACACGGGACAGGCTGGGGCAGTACCAGGAGCTCTGGAGGGCCACTTCAGTGAGCCAGGGGCCCGGGGAGTGGGTGCCCGTACAGATGGACCTCAAAGCCCCCTACTCTCTACAGGTAAGGTACTCGGGTTAATTTAAAGTTAAAGGTCTCATATTACAAAAAATGGATTCTTGTGAACTTTAACCCATGTTATAATGTTGTTATCTCATCACATAGTGGAGTTGTGTTTTGTTTCATTCACTCATGTTTGAGTAATCCTTTATTATTAGTTTGTGTGTGTCGCCAAAGCTCTGAACGCTCTGTTCCACCTTACAATGTCACAAAGTGGTAGTTAACAGCTACATTTTACCTCACCACAAGGAGACAGAGTCTGTTCTGTCAGAGAGAAGAGCTCAGCCTAAATCTGAAGGGTTAATGTGTTAAACATGTGTGAATGAAACAAAACGCAAACCCCACAAAGCATGTAAAGTGTGTGTGTGTGTTTGTGTGCTTGTGTGCGTGTGCAGGTGGTGTTCGAGGTGGCTTTCAGCAGTGCCAGAGGAGGGCGGGTGGCTGTGGACGAAGTCTCCTTCTCCCCGCAGTTCTGCAGCTCTGACACAGGTCTCACACTCAGCACACACCAGTCTGCTCTACTACACATGCTCCTTGTGCCTCTCCTCCTCCTCTCTCAGACGTTTGCACCGCCCCGTCCAGCCCATCTCCACTGCAGCAGCACAACCATCTGCCTTTCAGCCTCTTCAACCCCACCAGTCTACATCACATCATAACAGAGTTGGGACAGTAAATATTCATTACCTCTTTAAAAAGTTTGTGGTACACTTTGTATAATTGTGATAACTGCCCACAAACACAATCGCCATTCTATCTCCCGGCTGTGCAGACAAAAGATACTTCTGCATAATGTGAAAGTACAATATTATAGCTTCAAGGATACATTGTGTTCTATTATTGTGGCTTTAATTACATTTTAAACATGCAAACAGGCCAAGTTGGGATCAGAATTGCACATTTTCTAACTTCAAATAATACTTAAATTACTAACTAAAAATAATACATTTGGAAATTAGAAACTACACCATTGTTTCTGATGAAGCATAGACACTGGAGCTCCCTCTGTTGTCAACAACAGGAATGAACAAATAAAGAGTAATAAACAAATGAACAGTTAAAAGTCCTTCAACAGTTAACAGTTGCTTATTCACTGTGAACACAGTCTGACAGCAGAATGAGTCTGGTGATGGTTTAATGCCTTAAAAACTGCACAGGAGAAGTTCAGAGTTTTATCTATGACACAAATAAGTGGGCAAAATACAAACAGTACAATTTGTGAGTACTCACATAAGGCAACTTTGAATTAATGGACTGATGAAACCAGTGTGGATGAAACAAAATACATTGCATATATGGTTTTGACAAGGAGAAATATAACATAATAAAAAGGTTAATAGTCAATTTTACACAATGTATTCTTTAAACTGCTGGAACTTCTTATTATAACATTTAAACATTCAACATTTTGAAAAATGACTGTGACATTGTCTTTAATTGCAGTTATTTTGTCCATGATAAATGTGACACAAAACTCCATCTCATCACTGACTCTGTCCTGCCAGACTCTGAGCACGTCTAACCATCCAGCAGACTCCTCCTCACGCTTCCCTCCTTCTCTGTCTGTCTCTCTTAGTGTGAGACTTGATCCTATCACCTGAACCTTGTCCTCCATGTGTCTCCGCCCCTCCAGAGCCAACCTTTGACCCGTCGGTGGGCAGCTGTGACTTCGAGGAGGGGCTGTGTGGGTATGCCCAGGGCCACGGCGCCCCCTGGAGGAGAATCTCTGTCAAACCAAACCTCTTCAGGAACGGAGACCACACCACCGGATCAGGTACAGTCATTTGAAAAGGTTATCAGAGACTTGCAGTTTATTCTCTTTAATGTTTTCAAAAGCCAAATGTATTTTACCTCTATTCAAACATGATCCATCTTTCCTTCATAAAATACACTCTTATTGTATTCACTGATAAAACCTCTAGAAGATGGTCATGAAAACAATACTTTTAAACAGAGGAATCTGATTTAGCAGATGATCACGCTTGTGTTGTAAAGACATACTGTGCTTTCTTGGGGACATTTACTATTAAACTCTAACAAAGGTAAATAATAACAGTTATGTCATAGTATGAGTGGTAAGCACTACAGTGAGGACAAACTCCTCCCTGGTATTCGAGCTGAACTAATAAAAATTAGGTAATTGTTGTTTGCAGAACATCTGGACACAATTGATGCTTTTTTCCAAGTCTTCTTCCAAATAAAACTTCCACTTTAACAGCAACAACCTCCCAAATGTTTCGTTCCATTATGTTCTATTATTTGACATTTTGTTCATTGTGTGTGTTACAAGAAAAAAGAAATCTCCCACACATTCATTTTGTTTTTTTACTTGAGCACCCCCTAAACATTTCCTCATCCCCTGGTACTCTGTATATTGTGTATGCCATTTCTTTAATCATTACAACTTAAGGGACCATATTTTCTTCGTCACAATTATTTAGTGACAATATTACAGGCCTAAAATGTACTACAAAAAGAACATTTGTTCTTTGTTCAACACTCTTTTTTTCATGTCATTTATCACTTAAAGCGTTTCAGCAGGTCAGTCCCTTCTGCTCCCTTTTATATAACCTCAGCTCTTGCCCTCTGTGAACATGGTTTAGTTCATTCACTGGATCACATTCATATGCCAAACATTTTAGCAGAGTAAACATGTCTACAATATAGATAATAGATACTTTATTATCCCAAAGGACACACAACAAAAATATAGGTGATTATAAAATGAAGAACTGTTTCTGTCAGAAACATCACAATCGTGTGTCAGAGGAGAAAGACTTTTCCTAATAGAATCCAGGCAGTTCAGATTCCAGGTTTTGGACGTGTCTGGCTTTTGTGAGGTCTCTGGGTCTGTTTACGATGTGGGGCATCCTGCACATGCTCTGAAGAGGAACAGACACTCTGCTCCTGAGAACAGTATGTCCATACAGTGAGGTCAGAGCGTGTCCATGTTACAGAGTGAGGTCAGAGCGTGTCCATGTTACAGAGTGAGGTCAGAGCGTGTCCATGTTACAGAGTGAGGTCAGAGCGTGTCCATGTTACAGAGTGAGGTCAGAGTGTGTCCATGTTACAGAGTGAGGTCAGAGCGTGTCCATGTTACAGAGTGAGGTCAGAGCGTGTCCATGTTACAGACTGAGGTCAGAGTGTGTCCATGTTACAGAGTGAGGTCAGAGCGTGTCCATGTTACAGAGTGAGGTCAGAGCGTGTCCATGTTACAGAGTGAGGTCAGAGCGTGTCCATGTTACAGAGTGAGGTCAGAGCGTGTCCATGTTACAGAGTGAGTCAGAGCGTGTCCATGTTACAGAGTGAGGTCAGAGCGTGTCCATGTTACAGAGTGAGGTTAGATAATTATAACTGAACTTTCCTTTGGTTTCCTCACCAGTGTGTGGCAGTGTAGAACCATTTCAACAAAAACATCAGACAGAACTTGACTGATCTTACACATGACTGTACTAGTATATATAATAGGGTTATAATTTTTGAACTTTTTTTTCCAAAATCAAAGTCCTGCATCATGATTGGATGAACTTTTTGGTATAATTGAAGAAACCAAACTCCATTTTCAACAGTCTTTTACAAACGTCCCCTCAAAACAAAAAAATATTAAATACAGATTACAGCCAATGATATGAAATGCTAAGTTCTCACAAGGGCCATTACAAGTCAATTTGACTGAAAATGGATCAATAATAAGTTGTACTGTCATCATAATATACTGGAGTTTCAGTTTCTATTCTTGCTTTCACTTTATAAGCCATGTACATTTGGGAAAATCCATGTTGTTTAGTAGTGATATATTGTAGCTTACAGCTTTCCCAGAATCCTGGAGTTTCACTTTCACTTTCACTGTATAAGCCATGTAGATTTGGGGAAATCTGTTTTGTTCAGCTAGTGATATGTTGTAGCCCTAAAGCCATCCCAGAATTCTGGAGTTTCAGTTTCTGTTCTCACTTTCATACATGCACTATCATGTCAAATTGGTGAAGTTTGTGTTGTTCAAGCTGTTCCATAGTGAATGGTTAGCTCAGAATGTCACAGAGAAAGAGTTACAGCGAAGTTGAGAGGAACAAGAAGATTTGGAAAAAGAATGTGATTAATTTCAAGAAATCCACGATGGTGAGAGGGCCTATCCCATTAGTGCAAACCCCATTAATGGACGGAACAAGAATGCCACTAAAGAGAGACGTAATTGGCCGCTTTAAACACACGGCACCAGACATCAAAGGCCGGAACGATAGACTGAAGAAAATTTCCACCACCAGCGTCAATACTGGGAAGCAATCTGGAGTTGTGGTGAGGCTTCAAAGGATGTTCACCAACAGAGGCCACCAGGCACCACAATTCATCAGCTGCCAACACCACGTCCTGGACAGAGTACTACGCTTAGTGATGGACCAGGAGCTCGGAGCCAATACAAGGTCCCCAAACATTGAGTTCTTTTTTCATAAGCAATCTGATTAACAACTATAAAACATTGAAATCCAAATTTGTAAATGGAGCTAATGAGATTACTGATCGCTCAGGGTGGAGATATGATATGTGGTTTCTCTAACACCTGACAAGAGTTATGCGCTTCCATGATGAACATGGCCAATTCCCACTGGTGGAGTTTAAAAAAATACCCAACATCAGCAATGTTCACTGGAATTCAAGAGCCATCCTTGCAATTCTTGTCTTCATACTCATGCCAGATGCAAGGCATAGGCTGAAGCGAGTTTGTCTCTTCATTTGCACTGCATGGGCTGACCGATGGTTCTCAGACCAGAAGTTCCGTGTAGCCGACTTTGCTGAGTTAGAGGAGGCTTTAGTGCCTGACCAATCAGCACTGGGGTGTCTCAGAAGACACTGGAAGCAAGAGCCATCGAGAATTGATATCCCACACTGTAACCAATGGTGTGAACAAACAATCAAAGTGATGCAGGAAATTCATGCCACATGTAAGGACAAGAGCAACGTTCCACTTCGATTCATCGTTGCTAACCAACACTGACAATCATCATTTTTGGACTTTTAGTGGCCTATTTATTAGTATCTTTACCCTGATTATGTGTTTTGTTCCTGTGTTATTAAAGAGAAAATTGCCTTTGGTTATTTTATGATTGAACAGATATTAACCTTCTAACAGTTTTATTCTGATTGTTGGTAGGCTTAATGAAAACTTCATTTTGAGTCTGTGGGGGACTTTTTTTTTTAAAATATGACCAACTGAAGGTCAGTTCCTTTCATTACTAGCAAAAGTTCATCAAAATATGACACATGGTATAGAGGTTGTAAAAAAGTTATAACACTAATATATAAATGGACATCTTGAATGGACAATTTGAACATTTGTGTTTCTTATGAATTAGTTTGTCTCATTTTTGTGTCTGTCCTTTAAAAACACCAGAGTTTATGCATCATGTATTGTTGTACTGGTGTTGATTACACTCGTATCACTCAGTCTTTAATACTGTTTTGTGCTGCAGGCTCGTTCCTTTTGGCTCACTCTCATCTGGCTCCTGGCTCTGTGTACGTGAGCCGTCTGCTCGGCCCTAATCTGCCCGGCAACACCAAGTTCTGCCTCAGGTTCTACTTCTCCCTCAGAGGTACCACACTGTGAATGTGACCAGGCTCTCCGCTCTGTTCTCATGGGTGCCCTTCTCCTGTTCTGTATATTGCGACATAAAAATATCCCACTAAACGAGAATATTGAAAATACTCAATACCCCTGATACGCCGAACTAACTAATACTCTAAAGGCCTTGTTCTGAATAACTTGTATGAATCTGAAACACTATAGAGCTACTTGAACTTTATAACATCTACTCATGTTTTATCTGTATGTATCCTGCACACTCGGCTGAACCTGTGTCCCCAGAGTCTTCACCTGCAGACAGAGACATTCAAGTTTGTCTCATTCTCAGTTTATGGACATGTCTCATGTGAAGCTCAGAACCTCCAGAATTTCATCCCTGAGCTGCACAGGCTGCACTAGCACTGACTCATGACAGGTGCAGGTGCTGGGGTTTAGGGAGTGACTGTTCACATCAGAGAGACACATTTTAGATTTAAACACACTGGATTTTAGCACTGAAACTGGCAACCCAAATGAGACAGTCATGTGACCCTCTTTCTGCTTTCTGATTGGATAATTATATTGAATCAAAACACCAAATGATCACAGATATCATAATATTTTTGTAATTAAGAATTAATCACCATTACAATTGTTGTCATTGAAAGCTATATTTGATTTGAACATGTTTACTTTACAAAAGACATTTATAACACTGTAACATCTTTAGTCTTATATACTCTAGTAGCAGGAGAGTGTGGAGAGCCTGGGGTAGCCATACTGAGGAGAGATGTTGTGTTACTCCTCAGGGTATAACCAGACAGAGCAGGCGCTGAGTGTGTACCTGCAGCACGGCCTGGTCCAGGAGAAGATCTGGACTCAGGGAGAGAAGTCCAGAGGCATCTGGATCCAAGGAGATGTGAGCTTCACCACCAGCTCCCCCTCCAAGGTACCTGCACCAACCACACATGTCCACAGTCATTCTGCAGCTAGAGGAGGACTCACACTTGTCCTGGTTTGCTCTTGTTCTCATCCTGGTGTAGTCCAGGTTCAGTCCTGGTTTATCATCATCATATTATTGTGTTTGTGTGTGTGTGTGTGTGTGTGTTGAGGTGGTGTTTGTGAGCGTGTGCAGGAGCCTGTGGGACTGTGGCTCTGTTGCCCTTGATGACATCAGTCTGGAGTTGGGACACTGTGAGCTGGGGACAGGTATGTCCTTTTGTCCTCTCTGCAGAGACTGCACATGTGCTCTGCTTAGGCCTGTAGTGAGCCTCTGTTACCATCACTTCAATTCATTATTATAATCAACTGAAATTAAATATCACACTGTGACCTCTGACCTTTGCCCTGTGCAGATCTGCTGTCTCTCCCTGCACACTGTGACCTCTGACCTTTGCCCTGTGCAGGTCTGCTGTCTGTCCCTGCACACTGTGACCTCTGACCTTTGCCCTGTGCAGATCTGCTGTCTGTCCCTGCACACTGTGACCTCTGACCTTTGCCCTGTGCAGATCTGCTGTCTGTCCCTGCACACTGTGACCTCTGACCTTTGCCCTGTGCAGATCTGCTGTCTGTCCCTGCACACTGTGACTTTGAGGCGGGGCTCTGTGGGTACTCTCAGGACAGACACACTGATGATGCAGACTGGCACTGGAGAAAAGGGCCCACCCCCACGTCGTACACGGGGCCCCGGGGGGACCACACCACCGGCCTGGGTACTCTCTCACACACATGTCGGGTTTCCGTGCTTCAGGGGACATTTCTGTAGTGAACTCACAGGCTCAAAGAGGAGCCACAGACCACAGCAGACGCTCTTCATCATGTAGTTGTTGCCATGGTTCTGCTAACATCACACATGTTTGAGTATCATACTCATCATTCAGATCAGTCAAACAGAAGAGGACTAACACGTACTGACATCATTTGACAAACATGAACAATTACTGACGTTCTTCTTTTCTTAATGAAGCTGAATGTGCCTGTAATAACACATACTGTATGTACATTAAAGTGCGATCATTAGAAACAGAATGTTGTGTACACCAGTGGACTGTAGTGAGATGCAGTACTGCTCCAGTCGTACCTCACCACACTGTGTTGTAGGACACTATGTGCACCTGGAGGCGTCCCCCCTGCTCCCAGGACAGAGTGCCCGGCTGCGCTCCCCCTCTCTGCGGGGCTCCCGGGGGCCCCAGTGCCTCCTCTTCCACTTCCACATGTACGGCTCTGGCACGGGGCGTCTGAGTGTGCACGTGGACGAGGGCGGAGATGTGCGCACGCTGTGGGAGAAGGACGGGGAGCAGAGCATGGGCTGGCTCAGGGCACAGCTGCAGTACCAAAGCGACAGGCAGCATCAGGTAAGGTTCCACACTGGTACTTTAACACAAACTAGACTAAGGCTGGTCAGGCAGAGGACAGGAGCCAGCACACACACTCACACGATTTGGTTTTCAATGATATGGAGATGGATGGCTTTGCCAGAAATGTTCCACACTACAGCATTAAACGCATCTATCTCCAAGGAGACGTGCGTATGTCTGACCGATATGAGAGAACACAAACACCACAGAACACAACATACACACACTAGAGTAACATATATATACTTTAAAAGTGTCTGACATAAACATATTATAAATGTGTGAACTGTGTGATGTGTTTGATTATTTCATTTCAAGTGTGTGTATTAAAACATATGATACATATATAATAACATATATTATAACATACACAAGAGGAGAGTATGTCACTGTGGGCTCTGTCTAACCTAGTGTGTGTACATGTGTGTGTACATGTGTGTGTGTGCCTTTGTGTGTGTGTGTTTGTGCAGATTGTATTTGAAGCCACCAGGGGGCCCTCTGTACGCAGTGACATTGCCATCGATGACATCCGTCTGGAGAGTGGCCCCTGCCCAGGTACTTCACAGACAGTCAGTGTACTACAGTCTCTGTACTGCAAACTGTACTACAGTGTATTACAGGCTGTGTACTACAGGCTGTGTAATACAGGCTGTGTACTACAGGCTGTAGTACACAGTAAGGTACTCTTAATTGAGTAGTAGTTTGCACATTGTACTTCTACTTGAGTAATAGAGTACTATTCTTTGAGGTAACAGTACTCTCTCTTGTGTGCGTCTGGCTACTCTTTAACATTTGTCATATTTGTGTTTGTCACAGTGGAAGAGCTGGACGTCAGACTAAGTTCTAATGAGCTGGAGTAGATGTGGTCGTGTTGTACAGTGTGAGAGAGCGCCCCCTAATGACGAGGGGCATAAGAAACTCTGAGTGGAACTCTGAGGGCGTGGGACTGGACAAAGCTGACCTTTAGTAGTTTACAGATGAGACGCGACAAACACAACCTCTCATCCATAGATAAATTATATACAGGACATTGTCTCTTCACATGTTCACAGAGACATAAAGATCACTCCTTAAAGTCGCTTGTACTTTACAAGATGTTCATGAATTGTACAGAAAGATTTGTTGATATGTATTTCTAAACTTTCTAAAAGAGTTAATAAAGTTTTAACTCCAAAAATGAGGCAATTTTCTTTCCTGGGATCCAGAACACGCACTTCTTCTACACTGTTGTGAGTCTGGTCACCAGTGAATCTCCCTGTTTTCAGATGCTGTGATTGACAGATGGATTAGCCAATCAGGGACACACATGATCCGTCTGTATCAAAACAAATATGGCTGCTTATGAGGGAAAAAGAAAGGAAGGAAATATGACAGGGACTGAAAAACATCACAGATTTCTGCAGAATCAATGAAGCACTAAACTGTGATGTGGGGAGAGAAAGGTCATTTTGTTTGTAATGGTGATGACCAATGAGCTCCTCCATCTGATTGGATGATTACGTTTACAAGACTGATTCAATCTGTAAAAAATACAGAGATATAAGAGTCTGGAATTGCCAGGCAACCAGTTTTCAGTAAGATCTTAAATACAAAAACACACACAAAAACCAAAATGAAGCAAGACAAACCTGTTTCAGCCATATTTTCAGATGTATATGTCTAATGATGTGGCCATTTTACTCACAAAATACCCAAGGTCTCCAACCTGTAGCTCAGGAGCTACCAGTAGTGCTCCTCTGCCTTCTGAGTAACTTTCAGGGATTTCTGAATCATATGTATTGTGCTGAGTGACTTAATTAATTAGTGATTTAATTAATTACAAGCCTTTTACCATTGTACATGTATCATTCTGATCACCAGTCCCCAGTAAATGAATGGATCCATATGGTTCCACATGTGGGGCTGGCTCTCTCCCCAGACACTTCCTCCAGCTCCTGTTCCCAAGAGACAGTGCCTCCTTCCTCCAGCGTGTCCTGGGTCTTCCCTGGGGCCTCCTCCTGGTGAGACATGGACAGACGTCCTCTCCTCAACTGCCCCTCTCAACGTGGAGGAGCAGCAGCTCTACTCTGAGCTCCTCCCTTTTCTATACGCCCAGCCACAGATCCACATGATAATCTCACACTCCATCCTTCCCTCACTGAACCAGGACTAAACCAGGACTAAACCAGGACTAAACCAGGACTAAACCAGGAATAAACCAGGAATAAAGCAGGACTAAACTAGGACTAAATCAGGACTAAACCAGGAATAAACCAGGAATAAAGCAGGACTAAACCAGGACTAAATCAGGACTAAACCAGGACTAAACCAGGACTAAACCAGGACTAAATCAGGACTAAACCAGGAATAAAGCAGGACTAAATCAGGACTAAACAGGAAAAACCAGGACTAAACCAGGACTAAACCAGGACCAAAGCAGGACTAAACCAGGACTAAAGCAGGACTAAATCAGGACTAAACCAGGGCTAAAACAGGTCTGACCCAGGACCAGACTAAAATCCTGACCGTTCTGTAGATGTCATGCAGCCGAAACATGCTGTCAAGGTAAAATACACCTCCTGTAGAAAAGAAGACAAGATCAACTGTTTTGGATTTGGATCTGGATGATCTTCATCCCAGCTGCTTCACACTTGGCTGCAGCCTCAGTGCATGTTACAGGTCCTGGTTTGATTGACAGATTCAGAATCCAGTTCAAAGAGGAATATATGTTTGCTGGTTTGAAGACGTGCACTTTTGAATATAAGCAAAGTATAAGCAGTGCATGAAAAAGAAAGGCTTTCCTCCTGTTCACTGCTACATTTTAAACAAAACCAACAAGAATATATTCATAGAATAAGAGGAAATGTACACAAAATGAAAAATGTTTTTCTAAAATATTTTAACAGTCTCAGGGTGCACCAAACAAAATCAACAGGCAGAGGATAATCTCTTGTAGTTGCCTCCTATGCTCAGTAGATGGCGTGATAACATAAACTGGTGGAATAACCCGCCTACTGCAGCCAGAGTCTTCACCTGCAGACAGACACAGACAAGTGCTTCTCATTCTCAGTTTATGGACAAGCCTCATGTGAAGCTCAGAACCTCCAGAATTCCCTCCCTGAGCTACAGAGGCTGCACTAGCACTGACTCATGACTGCTGGGGTGCTGGGGTTTAGGCAGTGACTGTTCAGATCAGAGAGACATTTTCTCATCTCAAGAACGAAGACATTAACTTCTTAACACAAATAAATGGGCCATCGTGTTCCCTGCTTTTGTAATTCAGAATAAATCATCATTACAATTGTTATCAGCAAATGCTCTTTGATATGGACATGTTCACCTCAAATATAGAGACAGTCATGTCAAAATGTTACAGACAGTTCATTTAAAAGAGAAAAAACTAAAGTACAGTTACAAAAGAAAAGAAAAAGAGGCCAAACCTCCAATCCAGTGTCATTTGAAAGAGGAAGGTGAGACGGCCCCTGAGACTGTGGTTTTACGGCTTTTGTACAGTTTCTTTTGTTTTCTTCCATTGTTGCATACAAAGTGTTTTTGGTTTTTTATCATTTACATTTATGGATGTACCATTTAGAGTGAAAACAGATTGAGAATGTATTTATCTCATGAGCATTACCTTTAATCATAGCTATTAGCAAACAAGACATCATGTTTTAATAATGTAATACAAAAAGAGAAAAAGTCTGTGTGAAGGCAAAGAGACAAAATCCTTTAATCTGGAGTACAGTACTGTGACTACACCATGTAACATACATTAGAAAATACACTTAAATGAAGAGATTCAGTATTTTGTAACTAAATGCATTTGACAGTACAAGTCCTCGTCCCAACACTGTTAGTGAGACATCCATTATTTTCACACATGATGTTCTAATGAGTGAATGGTTCAATCCATCAGCTCAATCCTTTGTGAAGAATAAAAGACAACTCATAAATCACAGGCACTTTATTGTGAAATGACATAATAAGTACAAGTTATTTTTGCTCTCTTCTGAAACTCCTGATGATGACTCTAAAGTCTGAATGATTCCAATAAAAGTGTCCAGTCAAACAACTATCACACATCTCTCTTCCTCCAGTGCCTTCAATGGGAGATGGACAGGTGCAGATGGACAGGTGCAGTATTGACAGGTGGGGATGAACAGGGTTACTCGGGTCCACAAAGTCCCAGCAGCACCTTCTGGAAGTGTTTCTCCGTGTCCCTCTGCAGACACAGACAACAGGTTGCTCAGAGTGAGGTCATTGTTGTGGAATGCTGCATTCCCTGCATAGTCTTAGCGAGGATCTGTTCTTTAACATTATCACTTTTTTGGTCAGTCCACCTCACAAAAGTGGTTTACTATGCTCTTCTCATTTTATCTCAGCCAGCTTGTCTCCAGACTGCTCTTTTTTTAGCTCTAATTTAAACTTCCTTGTGTGGAAGCAGAGTCAGGCTTGAATAGACAGTACTAACACGCAGTGTTGAGTGTTCAAGTTCACCGATGGTAAATAAACTGCCTCAGACCTCCAAGTCTGCCTCTCTGGACATCTCTAGGACTGTCTCTAGGACTCCTTAGGACAACACATATTTTCCCTAACACTCATGACAGTGCGAGGAGCACGTGAGGAGCAGAATCAGTGTGTTAAAGTTTATGCTGGGGTGAGGGCAGTTACCACAATGTCCTCCTGAAGGTAGCGGTTGTACATGGCGTAGTACTCCCTCACGATCTTCTTCAGGTCCACCTCAGAGCGGCTCACCAGCACTCGGATCAGAGACTTCTCACATGTGCCATGGCCCTGTCAGGAGAAACATCTCACTTTAGCAGAAGACTATAGAGTAGAGGAGGAGAAAAAGGGCGAGGCATAGGAAGAGATCAGAGACTGTTCAGGAGAAACATCTAAACAGCTCACTGGGAGCTCACAGAGGAGAAGAGAAGAGAGGGCAGAGAGAGAGATGAGAAGCGAAGAGGAAAGGGAAAGGAGAAGAGGTAAAACACTCACCCATTCACACACACCAGTGTACACAGACACCGGGAGTGAGGTGGGTTAAGTGTCTTGCCTAAGAACACAACAGCATTATTGATTGGTGGGAATCGCGCCGCCAACCTGTGAGTCAGTGGATTTGAGCACTTTACAAATAATGCTTCATGTGGAGAGTGGGATTTGAACCACTGACCTTCAGCTCAGAGAAGAGGAGAGGAGAGGGTGGAGGACAGAAGAGAGGAGGAGATGGAGAAAGGAGATAGAGGGAGGAGAGAGCAGAGAGCAGTGTCACCTTCATGGCCTCGTGCAGTTTCTCAGCGAAGAAAGCCGGAGTGTTCCAGCACACTTTGACTGTAACACACAGATCCACAAGATCAGGATTATTCATGAACGAGGGATGATTCTGATGACAGTGAACAGGCCCGAGACAGAAGAGTCCCAGTCCACTGCGCGCACACACACACACACGCACACACACGCACACACACGCACACACGCACACACACGCACACACACGCACACACACACACACACACACACGCACACACACGCACACACACGCACACACACGCACACACACACACACACGCACACACACACACACACACGCACACACGCACACACACGCACACACACGCACACACGCACGCACACACGCACGCACACACACACGCGCACACACACACACACACGCACACGCACACACACGCACGCACACATAGACAGAAGAGTGGACAGAAACAGGAGGGAGAGGAGTCTGACCGATGTCGATGAGGCAGTCCTCGATGTCCCCCTTGAGCTCACACTTCAGGGCCTTGGGCAGGGACAGGTCACTCACAGCGGCGTATTTCTCGAACGCTGCAGAACACACACTGTCAGGTCTGAGGCTGTATGTGTGTATGTCTGACAGACACTGAAGGTCCAACAGTAGATACACATTTAACATAAAATTATCATTCTACCAACAATAGCCTGGATTTATGTGAAAACTAATCTGATACAGACATGGTCCAAGGGTAGGGTATGTTATCACATCATGTTGTATTTCATTTTGTTAAACTGAGCATGCCCAGATACTGGGTATGTTGCTATAGTAACCATACCTTGGACAAATAATATTTTAGAGATTTCTCAGAGAGCTGTAAATCCCAGAGGAGGTACTCACTCTTGGAGAGTTGGACTGCACTGCGAGTGGTCAGGATCTCGATGAAGGCGTCCACATTGGTCCCTTTCTGTTTCTCCCCCGCCTCAAACAGAATCTGCAGGACACAACACACATGGACACAGGTAAACTAAGACAAAAAAAAGAGAAATGTTGAAAGGTTGGAATCATGTGTACTTCCAAAACACACAAAAACTCAGGTCAAATGATTATGTTATCTGATTATTGAGGTTTCCAACCATGGACATGTACCCACTGACACCAGAACCACCTGCACAAGCACAGACCTGCGCTGGGTCTGTGTACTTCTCAGACTGTTGTTGTGGAAAAACTTATTTAGATCTTGAAGAAATAATAATTAACCCATTTGTGAAGCCCGGGGAGTTTTTGGAATACAGACAAAAGTTTATTCTTGTTACATCAGATATGGACAGGGCCTACGCCTGCCCTGACCAACAGCCTCTCCTCACCAGCAGTATGCCCCCACCTCCCCACATGTTACAAAGCACCAAGTTTACACAGACTGAGATGACCAGAGGACATACATTTCAAAGTGAGAAGGTGACGGCTCCTACTGAGGTGTGGCCACATGTGCTTGATCTGATTTGCTTCCACAGTCACCTGCATTTGTCACTTCCTCACAAGATCAGTAAGCAAAAGGAACAGAAGTATTTACACTGAAGACTCTTTCTGACAATGTCTTTAACGACCAAAGCAAATGAGTTTCAGTTACAAGACCAAATGTGTTTCTAAAAAGATAAACTAATCATGATTTAATTTAATCAATCAATCATAATCGATATTTTCCTGTGGGGGTCTGATCTTGGGTATAAATCACATTCATTTACAAAAAGACAGATTTCCATCACACTGTACTGTGTTCTTCTGTGTTGGTGTTGGGGGCAGTTACCTCTGCGTCCTTCTGCGCCAGCTGCATGTCCACCTCTGTACTGGTGCTTCTGCTGGTCCTATACAGAGCCAGGAGGGCCTTCTCAAAGTCTCCTCTGGCCTCAGTCTTCAACACCTCCTCCAGCTCCACATCGTACTCTGCACACAGCACACAACAGGACTAAAACAGGACTAAAACAGAAACTAAACAAGGCCCAAACCAGAAGTGAAATAAGACAAAACCAGGGCTAAAACCAGGACTAAACCGAGACTAACCCAGATCTAGATCACGACTAAAAAGAATCTAAACCAGGTCTAACCCAGGTCCACACACATGACTCACACCAAGTGGAATTCACACAAACAGAGCAGTAAAAGGCCTCTGTCATCAGGCTCTGTGGAGCGGCTCATTTGGTTTAAGCACTACAGACCTAAACTTATTTTGAGGTAATAATTGTTTTCCTGCAGCACTCACTAACCATCAGGTTGAAAGTTCAGTTCCCACTCTGGGTACATGTTTGTGTTCTCTGGGCCCGACAGCATGTCTGCTGTGTTACAAACATTTTATACCCCAACTTCTATCCAGAATATCAAATCAAAGTACACCCCAGATAGTTACAGGGACAAAACTACAACTGTCATGAAAGGTGCACTGTGTCCTTTTTTTGTTTTCTTGCCACCTGTTTGTCTCCATGGAGATGTATGGCATTAAACTTATCTATCTCCATGGAAACATGAAGCAACAACACCAGCCAATTTACAGCTCAGATCTGTGGAAAGGCACCCTGACTCATAATAAGAATACATGTTGTTTCTATAATCCAAACCTGTAATGGCAGACCTTTGGAAAAAGTGACATAGTGCAGCTTTAAAGTGTGTATCAGCTCTAAAGGAGAGAGGGGGAATGTGACAATAAGAATGTGCAGAGAATTCCCACAGACCATGTTTGAAGACCCTGCTGATGTCCTGGATCTCCGCTCTGGTTCTCGTGGCCAAGATCTCCACCAGAACATCTTCATCTGTTCCTAAACGCTGAGAAACATCACACATCCCATCAGAAAATAAAATTAAAATGTTACTAATGCCTTAATCTGGTTTGAACCCAGATCTGAGAAGTCTTTTTTTCAGGGTCTGTGTAGCTGATGAGAGCTGACATTTACCTTGGTGGCCTTCCTGATGCAGAAGGCGTCAAACTGAGCTGGAGGCATGAGCAGAGCCAGGGCCACGTCCTCCAGGTCTCCTCTCAGAGCAGACTTCAGCTCTTTTTCCAGGCGCTGCCCACAACAGAACATCAGCATGTCATGGTTAAAAGGTTACTCTTCAGAAATGGTCCTACAGTACTTCTTCTGTGGTGGACCTTCTCTGATGGTGGGTCTATTCTCCTGTGTTGGACCTACCTTCCCAGTAGTGGCCTCGTACACAGCCTTGATCTTCTGCCTCTGCTCGTTGCTCCTCATCACCAGCACAGAGATGATCACGTCCTCGTCCACGCCTGCCACACGCAGAGCAGAGCATTTGAACATGTGTCATTGGCTGCTCACATGTCACATGACTTACCTCTGGCTTTGATGGCGCTCTCCAGGACAGAAACATCGTGGCTGGCGTTGAAGTTTGGGTACGGAACCACTGTGCCGTAGTACTTGGGTTTGGGCTTCTCTTTCACCTACACAACACAACATCTGTTTGATCGCTCACCGTAAACTGTATAAAGAAAACTAAGACTTAGAGTTCCTGTTTGTCTCCAGACTTCACCTGGCTTCAGCTGGAGGCTGCTGTGAAGCCTGGCCTACAGGACCCAGAGGAGGGACACTTTTGTCCTGAGGAGTGTACTCTTCTCGTATTGCCCTGGATCAGATGACTCTACCTGTTGAGCTTTTCTATTATTATTGTATTTACTGCTCAGTGTGCTTAAACCGCCCCTTGAGGACAAATAAAGTGATTTTGATTAAGCTGTGTTGACTGTGGAATGTTTATTATTAGTATTATTATTTTAATATACACTTCTGGTCAAAAGTTTTAGAACACCCTAATTTTTCCAGTTATTTATTGCAATTCAAGTCGTGCAAGTCCAGTGAAGAGCTTGAAATGGTACAAATGTAAGAACTGAACAGACAGAGGTTAAAAAAAAAAGAACAAAACACAAGTCCAAGCTCTGCCAAAACAACCTCAGTAAACAAGAACAAGATGGTGAGTTTGAAAACCTGGAGTGTCCAGTACAGTGTCCAGACTTAAAGCCCATGGAGCTTGTTTGGGATGAACTGGACAGAAGAGTGAAGCAACCTACAAGTGCCACACATTTATAACTTACAGCTTTATAACTTATAACACATTTATTAACTTCTGCAACAGACTTGGGAAGAACTTTCTGAACAATATTTCTGTTGTAAAAAGAATGAGCCACGAGTGTGTTCAGCTGTTATGTCTGCCAAAGGTGGACACACACACATCAATCTAAAGTTTAGAATTCATTTTAGTCAACAGTAAACAGTAAAAAAAAAAAAAAAAAATGGAAAAAGTGTGGTGTTCTAAAACTTTTGACCGGTAGTGTAGTTTCAACTAGTTTAAATGAACTGTGTGTAGCCTGTGCCCTTACTGGTTTAAAAAGGTACTACAACCACAACACAAAAGCAGATAGACACACATCCAAGTTTGTCATGTGAGACTCATTCTGCTTTCTGACTGAATCATCAAATAAAACAATAACATCAATAAATCAGAATTAAGTAAAAGCAATATTTGATTTGAACACGCTGAACTCATATGTGGGGGCACAGATAGGACATGTTTATGAAATGTGAAAATCACATTCTACATACCCTCCCTTTAAATTTAGAAAGCAGGCACAGGTATAAGCAACTGAAATAGTGCCTGTGTTGCCTTGTGAAAGTAAAGTCTCATGTAATCTTGATCCAAAAATATGTAATGAAACCATTTGATCTTCCAGAATTGAAGACAGGTACACAAGATTTTTAGCTTTTATCACCACTACTACTAATGTGGGGAGGTAAAGGTCCAATCCTCCAGTGCAGGCAAAGACAGTTTAGATTGTTGTCATGTTAATCTTTCTAATTAAATATGTGTATATGTGTATTGCCACAACAGCAGACACTGTTACACCTACATCAAGACTTCAGGAAGAGTCTGTATCTCTGTTTGTATGTAGATGTTTATATAAGAGATCCATTTCCCATCTCACTCTTACCAAGTGTCACACCTGCCGGGGCAACAGGTGTATTCAAATATGTTGCACTCACCTTCACTGTGTCGTCGTCCCCAGATTTGCGGTCCTTGATAACGTCATTGAAGAACTTCTTGAAGAACGCCATGCTGCTCTCTGGACCTGACGATCTAAAATGTCTCTCCTAAACAGAGTGGAGTTTGTGTCTCTTGTGAAGGAGCAGCTCACACGCCCTTTCACGAATCTCAGGTGTGTCTGCGGAAGTTACGGGGTTAAATACAGTGGCCACGCCCCTCCGTGTGAGCTAGCCCCGCCCCCCTGTCGCACTTGTGGGTCGGACTACATACCTGAGACAGAGGGGTGGGGTTAAAAGTAGTAGCCACGCCCCCTGTTTCAGGTGTGGGTGGGGCTACATACCTGTTGGGAGATGGACCGGTTCAGCCAGGTCCTGAACTGTGGAGTCGGCCTAATGACGAGTGTTTACACTGACCTTACACTGAGCAGGAGTACTTTTATACACAGCAGGAGTACTTTTATACTCAGCAGGAGTACTTTTATACTGAGCAGGAGTACTTTTATACTGAGCAGGAGTACTTTTATACTGAGCAGAGGAGTACTTTTATACCAGCAGGAGTACTTTTATACACAGAGCAGGAGTACTTTTATACTCAGCAGGAGTACTTTTATACTCAGCAGGAGTACTTTTATACTGAGCAGGAGTACTTTTATACTACAGAGCAGGAGTACTTTTTTATACTTTTATACAGAGCAGGAGTACTTTTATACTGGGCAGGAGTACTTTTATACTGAGCAGGAGTACTTTTATACACAGCAGGAGTACTTTTATACACAGCAGGAGTACTTTTATACTCAGCAGGAGTACTTTTATACACAGCACAGCAGGAGTACTTTTATACACAGCAGGAGTACCTTTGTACAGAGCAGAAGTACTTTTATACACAGCAGGAGTACTTTTATACAGAGCAGGAGTACTTTTATACTGTGCAGTAGTACTTTTATACTGAGCAGTAGTACTTTTATACTGAGCAGGAGTACTTTTGTACAGAGCAGGAGTACTTTTATACAGAGCAGGAGTACTTTTATACTGAGCAGGAGTACTTTTATACAGAGCAGGAGTACTTTTATACTGAGCAGGAGTACTTTTATACAGAGCAGGAGTACTTTTATACACAGCAGGAGTACTTTTATACTGAGTAGGAGTACTTTTATACTGTGCAGTAGTACTTTTATACTGAGCAGTAGTACTTTTATACTGAGCAGGAGTACTTTTGTACAGAGCAGGAAAACTTTTATACTGAGCAGGAGTACTTTTATACAGAGAAGGAGTACTTTTATACAGAGAAGGAGTACTTTTGTACAGAGCAGGAATACGTTTATACACAGCAGGAGTACTTTTATACACAGCAGGAGTACTTTTATACTGAGTAGGAGTACTTTTATACACAGCAGGAGTACTTTTATACAGAGCAGTACTACTTTTATACTGAGCAGGAGTACTTTTATACTGAGTAGGAGTACTTTTATACACAGCAGGAGTACTTTTATACACAGAGCAGGAGTACTTTTATACTGAGCAGGAGTACTTTTATACTGTGCAGTAGTACTTTTATACTGAGCAGTAGTACTTTTATACTGAGCAGGAGTACTTTTGTACAGAGCAGGAGTACTTTTATACAGAGCAGTACTACTTTTATACTGAGCAGGAGTACTTTTATACAGAGAAGGAGTACTTTTGTACAGAGCAGGAATACGTTTATACACAGCAGGAGTACTTTTATACACAGCAGGAGTACTTTTATACACAGCAGGAGTACTTTTATACTGAGTAGGAGTACTTTTATACACAGCAGGAGTACTTTTATACAGAGCAGTACTACTTTTATACTGAGCAGTAGTACTTTTATACTGAGCAGGAGTACTTTTATACACAGCAGGAGTACTTTTATACAGAGCAGGAGTACTTTTATACACAGCAGGAGTACTTTTATACTGAGTAGGAGTACTTTTATACACAGCAGGAGTACTTTTATACAGAGCAGTACTACTTTTATACTGAGCAGTAGTACTTTTATACTGAGCAGGAGTACTTTTATAGGAGTACTTTTATACAGCAGGAGTACTTTTTATACAGCAGAGAGCAGGAGTACTTTTATACACAGCAGGAGTACTTTTTTGTAGTACTTTTATACAGAGCAGGAGTACTTTTATAGTACAGAGCAGTGAGCAGGAGTACTTTTATACTGAGCAGGAGTACTTTTATACACAGCAGTAGTACTTTAATTAATTATTAAATTAAATTAATATTGTTAAATAAGCGGTTTATTAAAAATAAGTCTCAACATTTTTTGTTAATTATAAATTCAACTAATGAAGGAGCCCTGTTCTAACATAAAACATTATTGTTGCATCTCATGAAATATGATTTTACAGATTTCACAAACACGTCCTCTTTAAATACATAACACGCTGTTGATTCTTTGTTAGGGATGCCAACATGAAATCACAATCAGTCTCCATGTTCTTGTGCTGCTGTGTGGATGCAGAGGCAAGAGTGTGAGCAGAGAGAGGTCAGGCTGTGGAAGAGCACAGAGCCACCTGCTCATCTCCAGAAACATGTGAGTCATTCAGTAAAAATACAATCAAAAATACAGTGAAAACCTGCATTCTTATTCCATAAAGATAGATATACTGTGGAACATTCTAGACAAATAAATAACATCTCTTTGGAGACAAGCAGATGCCAGATCCTCCACCACAAATGCTCCATGTTGCATGTTTGGGAAAGTCGTGTGTGTGGGATGGACACTCTAAACGTTCCCTGGTCTCATAGTCAGTCGTTCATAGATTCACACACACTTGTATAACACACACACACTGTCACTGTCGCTGCTGGAGGTCATCTGGGTGGGGGCCCTCTGCCTCGGGGCCCCGGGGCTCTGTTCACAGGGGCCCCTCTGTTGGGGTTGGGGGAGGCCAGGGCCACATCTTTCTGCACGTTCACTCCTTTGGCCCCTGAGCCCGATTTGGTCTTGGTGGGTCTGGGCTCTGGGTCAGGCTCTAGACACAGAGACAGAGAGAAACAGAGAGAGAAAGAGAAAGAGTGACAGTTGCTTGTAAACATTTTCTGGATGGGTCCAGTGACACTACAGATGCAGCAGGTTCTGGAGAGTAGAAGACGATTCAGACAGTTCTGCTGTGAGGCTGGTGATTTGTCTAAACGTTCAATGTTTTCTCAGAAAGTCCTGGCAGTCACCTGAACTATATTTACACACAGATGAGGAGAAGTCAAGAGAAACAGTAAAGGGAAAAAGTGTTAGATGTACCAGGCTCAGGCGGCGGCTGTGGGGGGGCCAGGGAGCGGTTGGGCAGCAGGTCTTCCAGGTCCTTCATCACCTGGTTGGTGCTGTTGGTGTTGTTCCTCCGGTTCTTCTCCTCATCTCGAGCCTGAGGACGAGGACGAGACTCGTGAGGACACATGATTCTCAGGACGGGACTCGTCTAGACTAAAGCCAACACAGCCTGGAAGGTCTGTCCCATGAGCAACAAGAGAAGGACAGGCTCAGTCTGTGACAGTGGAGCTCAACCTAAACAATGCTCAAAGTTCTAAAGTAGAGCTGCAACGAATGAGCAGCTCCTTTTTCACATGTTCAGCTCATCTAATGATTTCTTTTGCATCTTTGAGATCATGAAATGATTCAGTTATTGGTCTGTGCAGCCCTGATGAAACAGAAAGCACGTTTAGGTTTGGATCAAAAGGTTTCACGTGAGTGATGTGATCCATGAAACAAGCCTGAGTTTAGAATCTTCTCACCATCTGCATCTTCTTCTTAAGCTCCATGTTGGAGTTCTTGTAGGCCTCAGACACTGAGTTCAGGTAGTAGATGGCCAGCCTGGGACAGGAGCACAAATATGGGTTTAGTTTTTGATTTGACCACTTTTACTTGTCTTGTTTAAAGACTTTTACAGGTTTTTAAAATACTGTGGAAAAGAGGATGAGCAGCACTTTGACTGGAAACGCCTGGATATTTGACTCCCTCTGCTGGACACAGAGGGAAGTGACGCCTTTTGAAACGAACAGTTACATGTTCCACAGCAGAGTCACACCATGAGCAGGGTCACACTCACACCATGAGCAGGGTCACACCGTGAGCAGGGTCACACCGCGAGCAGGGTCACACCGCGAGCAGGGTCACACCGCGAGCAGGGTCACACTCACACCATGAGCAGCACTGCGGGGATGATCAGACCCGGGTTGGCTGCGTAACTGAACAGAGTCCCCATGAAGGCGGGCAGGTCCAGGTCGATGGTCTCCATGATCACATCAAACATCTTCTCTTTGCCGCTGCGCACAAGAACAATCATCATCAGACATTTTACACCCAAATATAAACAACACTAAAAATAAATACTTTCTTCATAAATACAGTTCTACTGTCCCAGACGCCCTGGACGTTAAAGATCTGGCTGCACAAACTTTCTTTCTGACCTCTAGCATTTGCAGTCCACATTCACACAGGGACAGAAGAGCGATATTCAAAGCACAGACTGACCATCTTCAGGTTTACTGGAAAACATTTCACCTGAGCCATTACAGACACACATTCTCACACAGACAGTCCCAGGCCAGGTTCTCCTGATAAAGATCCAGGCTCAAATCTGCAGACAGGTTCCTGCACTCCCACTGCTCCGGAGAGTCCTAACCCACTGGAGGACGAGTCAAACGCAGAAGAAACTATGGATCTGGTCCACCTGACTCTCCATTCAAAGCTGAGGTCTGACCTGAAGGGTCCGCAGTCGAAGGAGGGGGGCATGGTCATGATGGTGTAGACCACAGGCAGCAGGCTGAGGAACAGGATGAGCAGCAGCAGACCCATGTAGAAGTTGTTGGACTTGGAGGCCTTGAAGACCCTCTCGTGGGGGACGTTGGTGGCCATGACGGCCCAGCACTGGTAGTACATGGAGGTGAGCAGACGCAGCACGTTTATGCCCACGAGCCCAGGGGCGAAGAAGGCTCCCATCCTGCAACACACACACACACAGAGAGACACACACACACACACAGAGAGAGAGAGACACACACACACACACACAGAGACAGACACACACACACACACACAGAGACACACACACACACACAGAGACACATACACACACACACACACACACACAGACACAGAGACACACACACAGACAGAGAGACACACACACACACACACAGAGAGAGAGA